CCAAAGAGTCTAAATCCGACAAATTGTTTTGAAAAACAGATTTCTAAAAAGAAGTGCCAAACATGGACTGCTTTGCTAGATACAGAGTCGCCACCTAAATGTTTTATTTTTGAAAAATTTAGGAAACCCTGACTCGTTTGCCTAAGTCCACGTGTCCGTCATCACCAAAGTTGCCTTGGCTCGGGAACTTGGGTACGATTGGGGAAGGTCAGCTATGAGCACCCCCGCGATCAAAGATCGGCCTCTACTAACCATGATATCGATTTTTGAAAATATTATTAGCTCTTATTCCGGTTTATTAGCCTAGAATTACTACGTGATGCGCACAACACACAAGTATAGACTGGATTGCCTAAGTTGGAACAAAGCATCGCATATCCGTTTGTTTCGAAAAATGGATTGAAATTTGCTACTCGCAAGTAGGCTAAAACATGGGTTTCGATGAATTATTCCAATTCAAGCAACCCGACCTTCACCCACAGGCATTCGAGCAGTTATATCACATAAACAGTTAGCCTCATGGTAAGCATGCTATCATGGCAACACTTACACACATGCAAGGATGCTAAAGCGTAAATGCTTACCTAGTACTCCAAGCCAAAATAGAAACTAGTTAGTAATCAAATGCATGATCCTTGCTCATGTTAAAATGGCTAATGTATCACAGGCAAAAATGCAACTAGAATAGACTCGGCTAACCTAAAATGGCATATGAGATACACAGATAACACGTATTCAATTTGGAATTGAAATACTATGCAGTTAGTATGATGTGCCGAGCCCGATGCATGCAATACGAATGAATGAATGCACGCATGCATAGCATAAGGTATGCTAAATCAAACATGCCCTAGTACTAACCATCAAAAGCAGGTAAGTAAAAGGGAGAAAGAAGTGGGGGTTGGAAGACATGCATCACACACACGCACGCTTATTACACAATTGTGCCCTTTCTCAGAGGGATTGAAAGAATAATACAAATTAATTAACCTACAAGCTAATTAAATATTTACAACACTTAACTAACTAACGAATCAATTAAGCTAAGAAAAGCAATAAAGAGGTCTCGGGAAGAGGGACGAATGCACGCGTGCTTGATTCCACCCGGAAATCCATCGCCATACTCCTGCTACCTCTGTTTGCACTGTTTTTCTTCTCTAGAGACTGCACAAGTCCCAAGGATGCTTCTGAAATACTCCATGAGCACTCTGGAATGCCACCGGCCAAGAGGGAATGCCACCGGCCATTGAAATGTGGTCATCAGCCACAAATAAAGCTCTCGGCCAACAATTCATGGCCAATTGGCACTAAATGTGGTCGGTCGGCCATCTCTTCTTGCAGAACCCTATTTTGACAGCAGCAGAGGGCAGACAAGACATGGCAATGCATTTCAAAGCAATGTTCGCACCACAACCCTCCCTATCATGTTTAAGACTCAAGGGAGTATGGTACTCGACCCTCGGGCTACCAATCACGCATTTCAATGCATGATGGTCCAGGAAGTCAAGTGTGCAATTTCAATATCAAATGCATAAAACACAAAACATACCAAGAGGCCCCCAACCTCAATCATGGTTAATCAAGAGGCAAGGCATACATGCTCAATGCAATGCAACCTAGGCATGCAACATGATCATGTGAACAAGCATGCAAACATGCAAGCATGTAATCAACATATCAAACATGTAGCAACATGTGAGGTAAACATAACAAGAGGTGTATGCCAAATGCAACACTACTTTAAGCATGCAACCACATGTTGATAGGCCAAGCATCTAGACATACAAACATACATAGCATCCAACATCATGCAAAGGGGCCAAACATGCGACAACATACAAGGCGAGCATGCAACAACATGCAAAGGATGGTCTTAAACTAATATGGGCGGCTCTCAAATAGGCCCAAATTAGCTGCCAATATACCAAAGGATAAGGGACAACGACACATACAAACATGCATGCACACATGGTCCAAAACTTAGGCGTAAAGAGACAACTTTTAAACACATTTAAAATAGACTATTATGGACAAATAACAAGCATACTAAGCTCTGAAATCACATGAAAGATGATACCAAATCAACTAATCAAGACAAGCATAGCATGTTAATGGACTTAAAGCTCAAAGCTAACCAAAGGAATTGAACTATGGCCATATGACACATGAAGCAAATGACCAAGGTGGACCAAAACAGTCCTTAAGCATGCCAAAATAAGCCTAAAAACATGCAAAGACCTAAGCCAAAGCAAGTTAAATCAAAGCATCAAAGCATGAGGCATGTAAGGCTATCAAAGAGGCATTATACTACACCTAATACAACCAAACATGGCATGGCTTAGGCAAATAAAATCAGAGTTATAACACATCAAAATAAGTCCCAAAACCCAATGAGAAGGTCTTCCAAAGACCAAATCATGGAGGCACATGCAATGGCCTATTCGTAAGGCATAAAACACAAACTATTCCAAGCATGGAATGGATGATAAATACAAGTATTTGAGCATATTATATGGACTGAAATATCATTATGAGTGATGTCAAACCACTGAAATGATGCAAGTAGAGCATGCTAGAGGGGCCAACACTCAAAGCTTACAAGGGAGATTGCATGGTAGCTATACAAAGCAAGTCATGGATGACCTAAACAACCAAAATCAGACCTTAAGCATACCAAAACATACATAAAAGCTTCACAAAGCTAAGCCAAGATCATGCTAGAAATTCATGGTACATCATGATGCATGTTAAGGCAATTTCATGGCATTACAAGACAAGTATGCAAAGCATGCATGGTGTGTCTAAACCAACTTAAAAGAGTGCTATAGCATGGCAAAATAACCACAAATACCAACTAAGACATTGCCAACATGGACTTAATGAAGGTGCTCACACATGAGGCTAAAATGACAAATATTAAAGACAATAAGGAGGGGGATGACCCTCTCCTTCTTAGGACCTCAAAACATCATCCCCACCACTAAAATCCCTCTGGATTTCAGTGGTGGGAAGGCCAATACAAGGTGGTCCCGGAGCTTACAAAAAGAGGCACAAAATGAGGCCAAACAAGGCCTAAGAGGGGGTAAACAACCCCAAACACCAAAGAGACCTTAAACAAAGATAAAAAACAAGTAAAAAAAAAAATTTCTCAGTTATACACTAACCTTAAAAATGGATGCAAGATAGGTTAAAAGCTTGTGCAAAAAATGGGAAATAAAGGGGTAAGTTTCTTACCCTTGTAGGCCTTCTTCAAAAGGACCACTCCAGCACCTTCCTTAGGTCAAAACCAGCTCAAAAACTCCAAGAGCAACCCTTTGGCACCTCAGTAACCAAGGTATGGTGTAATGCTAGGTGTTTATGCACAAAAGTAAAAACAAAACACACTTATACACACACAAATCAAAAGGGAGGGAGATATAGAGATAGAATAGATACAAATATCCTAAACCCTAATCTTAGAGCTCTGGAATTCACCCCCCCAACCCTTGAGGAGGGAGGAAAAGCCCTCCCTTTATAGGAGTTCCATCTTGCAAAGCTTACAAAACAAGCTAAGCAAGAGGGAAATACCTCCATACACATGTATGGAGGGGGTGCATTGTGGATGCCAGCTATCACAGCTGGCATAAAATATCTGCCAAAAGCAGATAAATAGTGGTTGGCCAGCCAAAAATGACAAATTGACCAAAACAATAGTCGGCCGACCACAAAGAGTGCCGACCGGCCATCACCAATGGTCGGTAGCAACAAAACATGGCCGGTGGCCTCAAGCTATGGCCGGTGAGGTGTGGGGATGGCCAACAAGCCATTCCCTGCCCTCAGAAGCAAAACAACAAGTGTTTAGTGCAAAACCAAACGCAAAACAACAAGTGTTTAGTGCAAAACCAAACACAAAACAAGCAAGTCAAGAGATCCTAAGGTAAGGCGCGTAGCCGAGACCTCCGAGAACTCAAAACGAACACGAACATGATGATCACCGAGTGTTCAAACGGTGACGTCCAAGTCTTGAGGACGGTCAAAAATGGGGTGTCTACAGCGGTTCACAATCTAAATTGGTCTCTCCTTGTACGTATAGTTATCTTTCAAGAGCACATGGGTTGGTTTAATTACGTGGAATGGATCTCTCAAATATCGTCGCAGCATTGAGACATGAAAAGCATTGTGCATATGTTCCATGACTGGAGGTAAGGCTACCCGATACGTCACTGGATTGATCTTCTCAAGGATTTCATAGGGCCCAACGTATCTCAGTGCCAACTTGCCTTTCACTCCAAACGCGTTTGCCCTTTCATAGGAGTTACTTTGATGAATACATGGTTCGCGACTTCATATTCTCGATATCTTCTTCGAATATTCGCATAACTCTTTTGGCGACTTTGTGCAGTTTTCAATCTTTGTTGAATCAATTTCATATTTTTAGTCGTTTCTTGCACAAGTTCCGGTCCCAACAAAGGTCTATCACCTACCTCGGTCCAACAAATTAGAGAACAGCGTTTCCTTCCATACAGAGCTTCATAAGGAGCCATCACAATACTCGAGCGATAGCTATTATTATACACAAATTTGACCAATGGTAAGTAGGTTTTCCAATTGCCTTGGAAATCTAGGGTACACATTCTGAGTATATCCTCCAAAGTCTGTATCGTTCTTTCTGATTAGTCATCTGTCTATAGGTGATATGCACTGCTCAGTCTTAACTCAGTTCCCAAATCTTGTTGTAGACTCTGCCAGAATCTTGAGATGAATTTAGGATCTCTGTCAGATACAATAAATACTAGCACACCATGTAATCTCACAATCTCATTAACATATAAGTTAGCCAACTTATCCGCGTTATGCAAAGATTTGACAGGTAAGAAATGTGCAGATTTAGTCAAATGATCAACAATTACCCAGATAGAGTCCATACCTCAAGAAGAGCGATGTAATCCCACAATGAAGTCCATCGTGATATGTTCTCATTTACATTCTGATATTGGAAGTGGTTGAAGCAATCCAGCGGGTCATTGATGTACAACTTTAAGTTGTTGGCAATGCAAGTATCTAGCCACAATCTTAGCAATGCTTTTCTTCATTCTAGGCCACCAGAAATTCTGTTTTAAATCGTGGTACACCTTTGTATTTCCTAGATGCATAGCAAACTTTGAATTGTCAGCCTTATCCATAACTCGTTTTCTCAAATCTGAACAATCTGGTACACAAAGTTTATTATGGAATTTCAGCACACCATTTTCAATCACAAATCCCGGTTTCAGTTTTGAGTCAATTTCATTTACAATATTTTTCAGAAATTCATCTTGCAATTGTTTCTCTCTAATCTCTTCAATGATTGTAGGTTGAGCGGAAATGGCAGCTAAAATCTCTTCCGGTTCATGCATCACAATTTCAATCTCATTTGTTTCCAAGTCACATAACAACTATCTCTGACTGGTGAACAAACTCGACAAATTTCCAATAGATTTTCGACTCAAGGCATCTGCAACGGTATTGGCTTTTCCCAAATGGTACAAGATTTGCGAGTCGTAATCCTTGATCAACTTAAGCCATTGTCTCTGTCTTATGTTCAATTCCTTTTAGGTGAAGAAATATTTGAGGCTTTCATGATCAATGTACACTTCACAAGTCACACCGTACAAATAGTGTCACCAAATCTTCAGGGCAAACACTACAGCTGCTAATTCAAGATCATGTGTTGGATAGTTCTTTTTATGCAGACAGAGTTGCCGAGAAACATAAGCAATTACCTTTCCATTCTGCGTTAACACACACCACAGACCTTTGTAGGAAGCATCACTGTAAATCTAAAACTCATCGGTTCCATTAGGCAAGGTCAAGATTGGTGCAATTACCAGTCTAGTTTTTAGTTTTTGAAAGGCTGACTTCCATTGATCATTCCAACCAAATGGTACATTTTTCTGTGTCAACTGTGTCAATGGCAAGGCAAGCTTAGAGAAATCTTTCACAAATCTGCAATAATAGCCTGTAAGTCCCAGAAAACTTCTAACTTCAGACACATTGATTGGCTTTGGCCAGTCTACAATGGCTTCAATTTTCTGTGGATCCATTGATATACAATCCGTATCAATCACGTGCCCTAAAAGTGCTACGCTGTCAAGCCATAATTCACATTTGGACAGTTTTGCATACAACTTATTTTCTCTCAAAATCTGTAAAGCAGTTCTCAGGTGCTGTTCATGTTCTCCCCTGCTTTTGGAGTAAATCAAAATATCATCAATAAACACAATGATAAATTCATCTAGAAATTGTTTAAACACCCTATTCATTAAGTCCATAAACGTTGCAGGTGCGTTAGTTACTTCGAAGGGCATTACCAAAAACTCATAGTGTCCGTATCTAGTTCTGAATGTTGTTTTCTCTACATCTTCTGCTTTGACCTTTAGCTATTGATACTCGGATCTAAGGTTTATCTTGGAGAACACTTGTGCTCCCTGAAGTTGGTCAAATAGGTCATCTATTCGGGGATAGTGGGTATTTGTTCTTGACAGTTACTTTGTTCAACTCCCGATAGTCTATACACAGCCTTAAGGATCCATCTTTCTTCTTGACAAACAAAACTAGAGCACCCCAAGTTGAAGTGCTCGGTCGGATGAACTTTTTGTCTAATAACTCTTGAAGTTGAACTTTCAACTCTTGAAGTTCAAAAGTTGACATTTTATAAGGGGTCTTAGAAATTGGTTATGTCCCGAGTACTACATCAATGGTAAACTCAATTTCCCTATCGATTAACTCCCCAGGTACGTCATTAGAAAATACATCAAGAAATTCATAGACCGCAGAAATCATTTCCACATTAGCACTATCCGAAGTCACAGTCAACACACAACACAAGTAGCACCGACATCCTTTCCTTAACAATTTCTCGGCTTTCATAAATGAAATCAAGTATAGCAGAGGAACTACCCTATTTCTAGTAAAAACAAGCTCAGGCATACTAGGTGGTCTAAACACGACAGATTTACTCACACAATCAATGGTGGCATAGTATTTCGTTAACCAATCCATACCAAGTATGCAGTCAAAATAATCAATACTCAGTGGTAACAAATCCACATACAGTGTCACATCTCCAATCACAATATCACCTGCTAGGTAAACATAAGTACATATCACAGGACCTCCAGAAGGCGTAATCACAGATAGTAAATAGTTCATAGGTTATAATGGTCAAGTCAATTTTTGTGAAAAAAAGTATGCGACACAAAAGAATATGTAAAACCAGAATATATCAAGACACACACATTTTGAGCATAGATGGAAATTATACCTGACACCACAGATTTGGTGTTTTGCACATCTCCAGGAACCAATGCAAACACTTTCCCTTGCCTTGGCGTTTCATTTTCGGTATTACCCCTAGCATTAGTTCTTGCATTGGTCCTCGTCGTAGGAGCAGATCCGGCTGAACTTGCTACAGGACGGTTAGCATTGTCAAGTCTCAATGGACAATCTCTAATCATGTGGCCAGTCTTGCCACACCGAAAACACGCACCCAAGGCACGGTGACACGTGTCTTTAAGCTTCCTTCCACAATTGGGACAATTTGGAATAGAGCTACTACTCTGGCTAGAGCTGTTGGAGGATCCTGTATTCTGCCTTTTTGACAATAACCGACCCTTCTTGAAATTGAATCCGAATCGTTTACCCTTCCATTCAGTTGTCGGAGCTAGATCTTGTTTCTTTGCTGCCAAAATGGTCTCTACCATCAATGCTCTATAAAGTACTTCTACATAGGTCGGCAACTTCAAGACGCCAACTCGGTCAAACACTTCCAAATCCAAATTGCCTTCGAATTTTCGTGCCTTCTTGTAATTAGTATCCACCATGTGTGGAGCAAACCAAGCCAATTTAGTGAATTTAGCTTTATACTCAGCTACAGACATTTTTCCTTGCTTAAGTTCTTGAAATTCTAACACTTTTCGATCTCTAAAGCATTGGGGAAAATACTTGTTGTAGAAAATCTCATTAAATTGAGTCCACGTCATGTTCCCATTATTAGTTCGGATCAATAACCACCATCTCCGAGCTTCATCTTTTAACGTGTAGGTGGCCATAAGAACTTTTTGCATTTCGGAGCAAGGAAACACTTCAAATAGTTTCTCCATTTCGAGCAACCAGGTTTCTGCCTTTAAGGGTTCAATACCACCCAAGAAAGTTAGCGGTTTCATCTTCATAAACATTTGAATCAAGTTGATTATATCATTGTTATCCGGCTCATGTTGTACTTGGGGGGAGAGGGGAGGGGACAAAGGTGGTTGCCTCTGTTGTTGTGTTAGTGCTTCAGTCAGAGCTGCAAGCATTTGTTCGATACAACTCATGTGAGTCTCAGAGGATTCGGTGGCGTCATTACTTCTTATATTTTCCATTTGCTATAGGTAAACAGAGCACTATAAACATAGGAAAATAGTCTTTTTTACAATATTCAGATTATTCATTTCAATTTCATATATTCATGGTCAGGTTCAATTTTCACATTTAAATAACACACTCACTCACACATGCTGATGGAATGCCCCTACTTCTGACTAGGACATCCTAAGCTCATATGGACTCATACATACGATAAAACATGTGCTCTGATACCACTTTGTCAATATCTAAATCCGCCCATATAGGTTTAGCATCGTAACCAGCCAGTAATCCTTGGATTACCAAAGGCCTCTGAACAGATTATCGTATAATAAGGGGCTGTGAAAGCAAATATAGAAACATACATAGTCCATTGAGCTATGTAGACCTATATAGAACAGAAAACTTCAATACTGAAATAGATACATACATATGTGACGTTAAACTTCCTTAAGTCTTACATCACCTTACAGATAGTATTACGTATTATAAGGAACTTAACCCAGTGTACAGGTAAACAAAAACAAAACAGCCTAAGCATGGTTACAAAACTTTAACTTCTCAAAACAGGAACCTCCCCAGGATGCACGGTGGTTGGCTATCCCAAAAACTCCCCAGGCAATAGCTTAGGCCTGGTCACGTACCTGCTTATCTGCATACATAATATAAACAGTGAGCAGAAGCCCAGTGAATAATAACAGATTAAAGGGTTAAATGAATGATGTCCCACTAGATTAAAAAAAAAATAGAAATAGATTCATATTCACATTCTTGTTTGAATCATATACAGCAATCAGAATTCATGCTTGTTCATATGTGATATATCCATTAGCGCTAACAGATCATATACTGAGCATTATGAGTCATACTTGTCAGTTCCATAAAGGAACCTTCAGACCGGGAATAGATAACTTGTCAGTTCCATAAAGGAACCTCTGGCCGGGTACAGATAACTTGTCAGTTCCATGAAGGAACATCCGGACCAGGAACATATAACTTATTTAAGCCACGGAATTGTTACCACGAATACTTGTAAAAAATTAGGCAATCATTCATTGTACAAAATATTTAACATGTTATAAAACAAATCTTATTCTATATACAGAAACAAAAAATTGAACATAACTTTACTAAGTTATTACTCATAGATGACTCCAAAGCAAACAACAGAGCAGACAAATCAGGTAACTTGCGGCGCGTGACCTACACAGATACAGAACAAATACGTACTGAATTACACACTTGGAATAATCAACTTAGTTCTTTCTTCTTTAAGTGTATTTCTACTTCTTATCATCATTATTATGTCTTAACTAGGGCTTAGAAATGCCTTGGATGCAATGAGGATACCAAAACATGCTATTCAACACTTAGACAAATTTACTGAAAACAGGGGTATCGCTCGAGCGCAACTTCCCTCTCTCGAGCGGATGGCCAAATATGTGAATGGTCACTCGAGCGTAACTTACTTCGCTCGAGTGGTCTGTAAACTTTGCAAAAGTACTGGTTGTGTGAATTTTTCGCTCGATGGCCATTCGATGGTCGCTTAAGTGTGTGACTGAGGTTTTCGCTCGAGTGTAACTCTCATCGCTCGAGCGATCTGTAAAATGTGTCAACTTCTGGCAGCATACATTTTATGCTCGAGCCAACTTTTGATCGCTCGAGCGAAGGTGCAAAACATAGAGTGGTCTGTCGCTTGAGCGGTGATGTTGAATTATGGAATTTTCAGATTCACCTCCAACCTTCAAAACCCATCTTTAGCCTTTCAAAACACATCCTTTGGGCCTAAAACTTGAGAAAACAAGTCTAACCTTAGAAAACATCAATAATTAAAGATCATTTCATGAAATCAAGGCCCATAAGCATGTCAATTATACAAACCCAAGCTTGAAATGTGAAAACATAACATGAACATGACATGCATGAAATTATTTGAGCTCCTAGTTTCCAAATCATGAGCAAATGAGATGTTTAGGTCAAAAGCATGTTGAATTCTTTGAACAAAACCAAGATATGGACATGCATGTGGAAATTCTTGAGAATTAACTTACAATTTTTAGTGACTTATGCATGTATATAGGAGTCATGCTCCAATTCCTTAATCTAAGCTCAATTCTCACAGTTTAACACTTAAACCTCTTAAGTTCAACCACCTATGTCTTAAATACAAAGCTTGAGGGCATGATTCTTACCTAGAGTTCCCAATTCTTTTGAATTCTAGCAAATTCTTGCTCAACTCCACAAATTTTGCTTCAATCTTTACCAACTCCCATTTTCTTCTTGTTGAATTCACTCTCTCCCTCTAACTCTCACTCTCCCTCACATTTTGTTGTCTCAAGGGAATAAAATGAGAGTGTAAAATGTATACTAAAGTCCACTCATGCCTTATATAGGCTCAATTAAGTTGACTTAATTCATCTTGGCTTAGGTTAATCACATTGACATTAATTATTCTAATTAATTCGTTCCCAATCGAATTTTAATTAAGCCTACCATAAATTCTAAAAAAACTCCAACTAACACATATACCAAGTCAATTTCATGGTCGGATGCCGATAAGGCCTTCAATTCGCAAGATATAACAGAACCTGAAACAGATATTCTTACGATAAATAGATAGAAATACAAATAATGCAACACACATGCACTTAATTCAGAATTTCATTTTAATTACTTATTATGCATACTTAATCATGGCTTAATCATGGTTTAATAGTTAATCATGGGTTGGGGTTGTTATAACCAGGTATCCAAGACACAGTCAAAACAAGCAGCTAGCAACCCCTAATAGCTTTGATCCTAAACACCAAGTCAGAAACAAAATAACTCACCCCTTTGACATGGTATTTTACCCATTAGGCAATATGCATTAATATGGATTCACACAAGCCTTCCCAATTAACACCAAGACTAGAAAACTTGCACCCATTTCTAGCCTTCCATAAGTTCTATATCACAGCAGCTGGAATTGCCTCCCAAATACTCTTTTCTAACTTTTTGAATTTGAATTCATCCCACCACTCCGAAAAATGACTCACAGATTATGGAACCACCCAAGTAATACCCCACCATGACAACATCTCTATCCAGATTTTCCAGGCAAAACTACAGTGTAAGAGCACATAGTTCACATCTTCATCACAAGAATTACAAAAAATGCATAAAAGGGGCTACAGTAGGATCAAGAACACCAATGCTATGAAGAAACACTGATGTTTTTAGTCTGCCCTTCCAAGCCATCCAACACTACAGGAATTATAGGGTTTGACGACGTTTATTTAACGGCGTTTTATGAAACGCCACATTTTATACTATTTAACGGCGTTTTTTAACCGTCGTTTTTGTTCAATATTAAAACGGCACCGTTTAACTATTTGAAGGCGTTGAAAAACGTCTTCGAATGTCCTCTCTGTGGCGAGCTGGTGAATACACTCGTTCACTTATCAGGAGGATGCCCTAATCTCAGTCTATCGTTCGCTCTGTCTCTCTCTCTCTCTCTCTCTCTCTCTCTCTCTCTCTATCTAAACAGATGCCCTAATCCCTTCCAACAGAAATCAACGGATCGGTTTTGATTTTGATTTCGAAGTTCTCTTATTTTGAATCCTTGCGCCTTCTCTGATTTCGATTTCATCTGAATCTCTGATTTCGATTTCGATTTCGAAGCTCCACCGCCACCACCATCTGCACCGACGAGGTAGGTAAGCTCTCTCTCTCTCTCTCTCTCAACCCTCTCTAAACGCTTATCATTCGCAGAGATTTAGATCGGTCTCAGTGATATCATCTCAGAGCAATTTCGATTTCGAAGATCCAAAACACCATCTGCACCATCGTCTACTAAGGTGAGCTCCATCGTTTCTCTGTCTCTCTCTGAAACTCTTCATTTCGAAGCCTATTCCAGTGCTGTAATGAAAACATCTCTCTCAATTCATCTCTAAACGCTTATCATTCACAGAGATTCAGATCGGTCTCAGTGACAGTTTCCCCACGTTTTGTCCTTCACTTTTTGTGCAGTTCTTTTTTTCTTTTGTTGATGATTTTGCTTTATTTTGTATTTGTTTCAGGTCCTGTTGCTGAAGACATGTTTCACTGGCAGGCAACAATTATGGGTCCACCTGACAGTCCTTATGCTGGTGGGGTTTTTCTAGTTACCATCCATTTTCCTCCAGATTACCCTTTCAAGCCACCTAAGGTGTCTCCTCCACTCTAATCGTGTCTTGTGTTGTTGCTCGAGTACTGTGTCATATTGAACTTTATTAATTGCTTTGTTTTTTGTTTTTCTTATTTTCAACTCGGTCTTGAATGTGAAAATTTGCTGAATTTACAGGTATTTTTTTAGTTCAATCAAATAAAATTAGCACAATTTCAAAAAAATAAAAAAAAGGTATATGACGGCGTTTTTACAAATGCCTCTTAAACCCTACTTACTAACGGTCACATTTTCAAAAAAAGATATAACGGCGTTTTTTCAAAACGTCGCGAAATATCGTCAGTGACATCAGCATGCGTTTAGTAGGACATTTGAAAAACGCCGCCTATACTAATATCACGACGCTTTTAAAACGCCACAAAGCTATAGCGACGGCCGCGTCCTCGGCGTTTGGTGCTAAGCGTCGCAAAAGGAATTGGCGGCGTTTTTGACACTTATAGCGGCGTTTTTTAAACGCCACTAAAAGTCTGTTTTCCAGCAGTGCAACAGGTAAATTGCATCTTTCAAGGAGCAATATTCATCCAAATCGATGCATAGTAGGCAATGTACCAAGATTCAAATTGAACCAATCATAAACTGATTTTACAGTGAACAAACCTGATGCTTCAGCTTTCCAAACCAATCTATCGTCCTCTGATTCACTTAGTAGAGGGCTAGATTGAAGTAAGTGATTGAGTTGAAAGCAATCATCCACTTCCCAAGCAAATAGTTGTCTAAGAAAGGAGAAGTCCCACACACCTAGAGTGGATTTTCTTCCATAGAACTCAAACACAGTATGCTCCTTGTCTAATGACAAAGAAAACAACCTCAGAAATACCCATTTCAAACTACCTTTCCCAAACGAATAATAGAGTAGAAGACAAACGATCAACTTGATTTATAAATTAGATTAGATTAGATTAGATTTAGACCATTTGAGAATGTTAAGTACAATAATATTCTAAAATAGCTAAAGTAACTATGCTTTTATCTAACTTTAATAAAAATAAAAAATAAAAACGTAATTAGACTTCACTGCCAATTAAGGTTGTTAAAATCAGGATCTTGCATAGGATCGGTGAGAGGGTCTCGTGAAACGGATCTTAGGATCATATCGAGAATCGTAAGATTCTATTTTCTATTAAAAAGAAGGTAAAAATACAAATTAGAATGATACATATTAAAAATAAGGCAAAAAACCATAAGTCCAACGATCCTACTTATGATCTTGCTTCAATCATATACGATCCTACCTACGATCTTACTATAACACCAATCCTACAACGATTTGAATTGTCTTCACAATTTAGGATCATAGAATCATAAGATCCTACGATCTGGATTGCGATTTTAATAACCATGCTACCAATAGATTTCAAGTAGATTTAATACAAGATTAATGTTGAATTATTAATTTTATAACGTTGTCCAAATCTAATTACAATGAGGAAACATGTATATGGCCATTTATCACCCAGAAGACATGTCCAAGGGCAATGCCAGAATTTCATTTTAAGGGAGCCAATACATCCTTAAAACTAGCAATACAAAGCATCTTTACTATGCGAGGAAAAAGTGAACATCCATTAAATCTTAAATAAGATGTAATTAACAAAATACTTAAAAAAAAATTCTACAATAAGATATTTTCTTTAAGTGATACATCATTTAAATAAGTTGATTAACGACTCTTTTAAGTTATGGAATTTATCGATGATTAAATCCCCGCCAATTTGAATAATGTGCCCAGGATTACATGAATGAATAAAGTGTTTTTTTTTTTTTTTTTTAAAGAAAAAAGTGAAGATTGCATTTTTTTATTTACCCAAAGTCCATTGCAAGTACTTTTCTTTTGCTTGCCATTGAAGTCTCACAATGTTATTATACCTGCCTTTTCATAAGTTAGTAATTAAGTAGTAAGCATCCACTAAAGGACAAATAATGTGCCCAACCACTTTACACTTTAGCGATATTACGAATTCAGACTCAATTATTAAAAATTATCATCTTGTGATTAAAATTTATTTTATATATAAATCTCACACTGCATAAATTTAATTTTCACCATATAATTTCTCACCAAAAAAAAAAATGGAAAGTTGTGTCCTATATTCTTATTCTTTCTCATATTGTGAATGTCTTAATCAATTAAGTATGATTGTGAATCATTGTGATGCGTCCTTATATCTTCACCATATGAATATTTCTTTGTATGATTGTGAATATGTGATTTGAGTTTGTTGAATATTATAGTATTACTTTATTATTCATATTAAAAAAATATTACTTTATTATTGTTTTCATAGTGGGGATTTGACATTTATTATGGAACCTTGTTAATAATACAAAACATAAAAGACGGATGAATTGAATAATACAAAAAAAAAAAAAAATTACTAAATTTAATTTTTTTTAATTGAAATTAATACACTTTTTAATATTTTACTTATTTTGGAGACACTTCTAACTTAATCACAATAAACAATGCCCCAAGATATTTTTTAGCATTTCTCATTTTAATGAATGGAATTTCTGAAACCAAGTAACTACATTTATTTTTGAATGGAAAACTACTTTACCTTGGTCATTGTGAATTTTTAGGGTTGGCTTTATTAAGGAAGTTAATTAACAAAGAAAAATTATTCCACGCCCCATATAGTAATTGTGTGAGTGATTTTCTGACTACACTGCCCGCTTAGTAACCAGCTGGAGAGCACCAACAGAATAGATGACACTTGGCTGACCTGCAACAGAAAGAGAAAATTCTGGCGGTGGTTCGTCCACCCGGGAGCACTCTGACGATCAAGTCAGTATATTTCTTAAAAATAAATCAAGTACTAAACTCACAAGCTTGAGTATCAAAAGCATACCTTAGACCCATGAAGATGCCTCTCTTTTATAGCCAACATAAACCTAGTCCCAATAGAAGCCTAACTTCTATGGACTCAGGATTACTGCTAATCTTGGACTCTCAGTAAGATTAGGATAAACTCTCTAAGAGTCTTATCTTAATACAAACTGAAGTCTTCTCTCATTCTAGGACTCTTGGGCTGACCTGCAACAGAAAGAGAAGATTCCGGCGGTGGTTCGTCCACCCGGGAGCACTCCGACGATCAAGTCAGTATATCTCTTAAAAATAAATCAAGTACTAAACTCACAAGCTTGAGTATCAAAAGCATACCTTAGACTCATGAAGATGCCTTTCTTTTATAGCCAACATAAACCTAGTCCCAATAGAAGCCTAACTTCTATGGACTCAGGATTACTGCTAATCTTGGACTCTCAGTAAGATTAGGATAAACTCTCTAAGAGTCTTATCTTAATACAAACTGAAGTCTTCTCTTATTCTGGGACTCTTGCCCTTCATCCGCTTATCTCGGATTTCGATATCTTCGAAGGTAACCTCGGCCTATCCGAGATGACCTCGGCATAACAACCAGGACGTGTGGCACCTCGGCTGACACGTCGGCGTCACCTTGACCACGTGTTGATACTCAGAAAATATATCCCCACAGTAATGTTACAAATTAATCTCAACCATTTATTGGTTTGGGATTCGTAAATCCCACATCAATAAATAATTGCTCTTTGATAGAACTTGTATTGTGACAATCCGTTTGTGTGGTTCATTTTATATTATGGGCAATGATTCATCTCCTTAAAAATAAAGTTCTAATGAGGGATTTGGGGATGCTGTTGTGCGGCTGCGGAGCAGCAGCCGCATGCAGCAGGCAAGCAACATCTGCTGCACGCCCAAAACGACGTCGTTTTGGGCTCCAATGTTATTTCAAAAAATGCCAATGTCACTGAGGTTTGATCCTTGGACCGCTCCAACAAATGCAACACTCTTACCACTGCGCCACTTTGTGTCCTCATTACTATTAAGGACACATAGTAACCAAAGGGGATCCTCCTCCAAATGCAGAGCTATGCTAATGTTTGCTGCTATATGCTGATTTGTGGCTGTTTGTTGAGGTGTAGCATTGGGGTTACTGCTGTAAGCTAATTTGCTAGTTAGGGACTGTTAAGATTTTGGTGCTGTTGGGTTGGAGCTTGCTCATATTTTGGAATATGTTGCCATTCAGTTGTTCTGCTGTTATGCTCAGTTTTTGGTGTGAGCTTGCTCAGATTTTGGTGCTGCTTTGATGCTCAGTTTTTGGTGATCATTTACTCAGTTTGTTCTACTGTTTTTTTATCTTTGTTGTTTCTTTTATCTTTGTTTTGCCTTGTTTGTTAGCTTCTCACCAACTAGGAGGTTGGAGCTTTTTCTGGCTCCAGACTTCTCTTTATTGATGTAATTCGGTTGTTTTTTCATCAATAAAGTTTTCTTTGCTGATCAAAAAAAAAAAAAAAAAAAAAAAACAAT